TTTTCCTATTAACTATCCTAAAGGAAGCCTTTAAAGCCTGTGAACATCATCATAGGCCTCATTTTTTCAAAATTTTTTTATTTTTCCTTTTTCTCCCCAAAGCCCCCCGGTACATAGTTGTGTATTTTCAGTTGTGGGTCCTTCTAGTTGTGGCATGTGGGACGCCGCCTCAGCATGGCCTGATGAGCAGTGCTGTGTCCGCGCCCAGGATTCGAACCGGTGAAACCCTGGGCCGCCGAAGTGGAGCACGCAAACTTAACCACTAGGCCACGGGGACGGCCCCCATAGGCCTCATTTTTAAGGGTTCAGGATATAAGACTGGTACGCTTTACGGCCCCATGGAGCTTTTGACACAAGCCACTTTTTTTTTCAAGCTCAAAAAGCAGCAATAACAATTGCTGTTATCCCAGACTAAGTGTTTAGGGAAGTTTGAGCATTATGAGGGTGATAGATTCCGAATTCCCTTGCCTTGTCCTCCCAGCACCATCCACACAATGGTGATTTCAGCTGGGAGAGCCTAACTGAAATGACCATGGTAGGCTTCTCCATGAGCTAGAGCCCAAGATGTTTTCCGTTTCTGTCTGGAGGAATACTATGATCTTTTTTTACAGTATGACAGAACAAACAGAACTGTTTCACAACTTACTTGGTGGATTTTGTGCACTGTCATGTTTTTCATTTTAAAAGAGTTTTTTTCTTTGCCTGGGACATTGGGAGATTATGCTGAGGCTCGCAGGGGTGGTCTGGGCGCGTTCTCACATGCAAGGGGGACATGGCCTGCTCCTATACTGCCTGGGCTTTGAAGTCATCTGTGACTCTTCTAGTTTATTCTCCGTATCTAATTGGTTCTATCGATCCTCCTGAAATTTCTCCAGAACTTATTATTCCTTCTTCTCCATTCCTGTTGTCTTAGCTCAGGCCTTTTGATCTTTTGCCCAGACTTTTTAAAAATAACAGTTTAACTGGCCTTCCAGTCTCCAACCTACTCTTGCCCTGAACCGTCCTTCACACTGCCATAAATTCTCTAAAACATAAATCTAGTCATATCATTCCTCTGCTTTTAAGTCATTTGATAACTCCTTGGTTACAAGATAAGGTCCAAAAGCACAATCTGGACCTCGCCTAGATTTCTAATTAGATCTCCGGCTGTATCACCTGCTATCCTACCTCCTGCTGCATCTGTCACCACACCCACCCCGGGAGCCTCAGAGCTCAGACACACAGAGTCTGCGTCTCTTGAATACAAAAGCCTCCCTCAGTCTGCTGTGCCTTTACCTGTGTTGCTCTCCCTGCCAGGAGCGTCTCCTCATTCGACAGTTAGGGAGTAGTAGCAAGCCACGCTAGGTAGCAAGACAAGGAGGTGAAGGGGAGAAGGGAATTGAAGAGCATTACTAAAAGAGCACGGTGCTGGGTTCATATCCGGGTGGTCCATAAACACTGAATGAATGAATACATGAATTGCTGACCATGAGGTCCAGGCTGCAGAGGCAGGCAAGTGAAAACAGATGGACTATGAGAATAGCTCTGAATTTTTGCCTGTTACTCAAACCCTTTTCCTATTTCCCTCCCCCTCACCATCTTTCAGATCTCCATGTTTATGTTTCTTCGAATTTACAGACTACTATAGCACTACCTCAGATGCATTTAACCACGCCATACATAATTTATTTACTCATTCCTCATAAATCAATCCCTGCAGCCATCTGGAAAACAAGAACCACTTCTACTGCCTTTCAAGCTCCTCTTAACCAATCTTTTTAGTACGTGCTGTTGTGTCTGGTACAAAATGTAGTATTTTACGCACAGTTTCACCACCCAATATCAAGGGCTTTATGACCTTTTTTCTGTTGTTGTTGTTGTGTTTATTAGGCAATCCCATGTGAAAACATTAAATAAAGTAAGAACAATTAAAAATCAAAGCAAGGAAATTATATCACTACAGAGTGTATAAGTGAATTGATTTTCATGTGTGGCTCATGGAATACAGCCTGTTTTATGGTCAGACCTTGTAAACCACAAGCAGTAATTCTCCTGTAAAGGCTTGTGAAAAGTTGCAAAGGACTACTCATGTAAAAACACATTCAACATTTATAGGCAACGTAAAAGTCTTGTCTGCCTCTGTTTTCTAGTCTGTTAAATAGGAATAATGGATACTCACTTGCCCCAACCACCTACTGAGAGCAACATGAGCACACAAAAAGTACTTTGGTGATACAGATGCTCTATGAAATCATTTTCTATTCGATGCAATGAGGATAACAAAGCTAACCCACTCTGCTTTGACCAGAAGCCTTAAGGAGAGGTAGGCAGTTTAACTTTACGGATACATAACTGATCATTTCACTAGAGCCAGTGATTGCCATAACCGACTCACTCTGGTTATAACTATACATAAGTAGAAGTGATACAGAAACAGGTGTCCCTTTTAGAGAAATAGGCAAATATGAAAAACCACCAAATACCAAACCATGAGTTTGCTATTTCTTTTATGAACTTTAAATTCAGGGGCTCTCTTCTACTGTCACTTTCCTGAGATACCTTTACTAGGCAAATTTCTTACCTTCTTGAACCCGTGATTTTCATACTGGTATGGTCATCCCAAGTTGGTTGCCTCCTCAGGAGGAGTTCCCAGACCTTTCTAACTAAAGTGTTATTCCCCAGTTATCTTCTATTGTCATTTAGTTTATTTCCATCCTAGTACTTATCATAACAGGTAATTAACTAGGTAATCTGTTTGTTTACTTATTTACCCAACTAGATCTAAATTCCAGATCAACCTGGATTTTATCTATTTAATCCCACAACTGTACCCCAAGTGCCTACAATAGTGCCTGGTTCATAGCAAGTGCTTAAAAAGTATTTGTTGAATGAATGAGTGAAGGAACTTGTCCTTGCGGTGACAACAAGCTTAATTCAAACTACTTTGCATGACTTTCAAGGCCCCAATTTACTTATTTAGGCTTATATTCTGCCCTTTTATACCTCTGTATATTATGCCTGTTGATATCTCTGTAAAAGCTTGCTTTCTGCCCAAATGCTCTTCTTCCTACCAAATAACTTATCTTTCAAGGCCTTTCTTAAACACACCTTTTCTGTGAAATCTTTTCCAATCCTCCACAGACACACACACAGAATGCTTCCTCTGTTCAGTTCTTATAATAACGACAGCACTTATAATATAGGGTTATAATAGAAATAAAATAATAATAATGATAGCTAACATTTTAGAGCATTAACTCGATGCCAGGTACAGTTATAAATACTTTCTATGTTATTACTCATTTAATCCTGGAAACAACTCTAAGAAGTAGGTACTATCATTAGTACTTAGGTGTCTGTTACAGCTAGCTAGAATCAACTTCATGAATGCTGGGATGGTGCCTTAAAAAGCCTTGCTAAGTCCCAGAACCCAGCAATGTATCTGCAATGTCATATGCCCTTACTACAAATCTGCTAAATAATGCATTCTGACATAAGTTTCTTATCCTCTGACGGCACTTTGAGAATGGCAATCCCAATCAGTTAAAGAACCAGACAGTAGTTTTAAGTAATTATACAAATTTAATTTTAAAGTGATACAGTCCTTTCTAATTACAACAAGAAGCTCAGAAGTCACAAAAGAATGATAAATCTAGTTATAGAAAAACTTAAAATATTTGTACATTAAAAAAACAAAGTTAACAAAGGCAAACCAGAAATGGAAAAAGTATATTCAACCCACATTAGACAAAAGATTAATTATAATATACGAAGGGCTCCTATAAAAAACATAAGAAAAGATAATCAGCCCATTAGAAAAACAGAAACATCATATGAACAGGAAACTTCCAGAAAAAAAAATTTAAATGGTTACAAACATATGAAAATATGCTCAACTTCATTAATTTAAAAAAGTGCAAATTAAAACAATGGGAATGTATTTATTTATTTTACTGATCATATTTTAAAGATGAAAAAAGAATTACAATATTCAGCACCAGCAAGGCTGTGGGAAAATAAATACTTTTATACACTCATGCTACAGAAATGCTTTCATATACTTAAAAGATACACACACACAAGGTTGTTCATTATAGCACTGTTGGTAACAGCAAAAGATTGGAAATCACTGAAACGTGTATCAATGCAAGCTTGGTTAAATAAACTATGGTACAGCTATACCAGGAAACTGTATGCAGCCATTAAAAAGAGTGACATTACTGGATAACCAAATAACAGATGAGGGAAATTCTCATTTTATAAACGTACTCCAGATAATAAAAAACCTAATTATAAAAAGGGGCAAAGATTTGAAAAGACACTTCATCAAAGAGGATACAAGGTTGGCAAATAAGCATGTCAAGTGATGTTCAACATAAGCCATTAGGGAAATTAAATTAAAACCACGATGAGATAATACTACATACCCGTTAGAATGGCTCAACTAAAAATTACCGAAAATCCCAAGAGCTGTTGAGGATGCGGAACAAGCGGAGCTATCATACATAGCTAGTTCAGATGCAAACCGTACAGCCATTCCAGAAAATGGTCCTGCGTTTCCTATAAAGTTCAACATACATTTACCACATGACCCAGCGATCCCATTCCAGCCTATACTACTCAGCAAGAAAAAAGAATGAACAACTTGGATGAATCTGCAAAGCATTGAGCTGAGTGAGTGAAGGCAGTCTCAAATGGTGACATACTATGTGACTCCATGTATATAACATTCTCGAAAAGGAAAAACTGTAGGGACAGAGAAAAATAGATCAGTGGTTACCAGGAGTTGGGAGTGAGGGAGATCTAACTGCAAAGGGATAGCAAAAGAGAATTCTTTGGAGTGTTGAACTGTCTGTATCCTGTCAGTGGTGGGGAGTACCAGAAGCTGTACATGCATGTGCAAGAATCACAGGCATGTGTTAAAACTCAAAGGACTGTGCACCAGAAAATAAGTGAATTTTACTGTATGTACATTAAAAATAATTTTTAAAAACATAAATTGTCATCGGCAGTAACGATACCTTCTATTTCTCCATCTAAGGGAGGAACGTCATCTCTCATGGAGAAATCCATAGCTGTCCCGGGTATGTCCATCAAGTCTTCATCACTGGAGCTGCTCCGGAAGCTATTGAAACTCCCCTGCTGGAAGCCTCTGTTATCCATGGCTCCTGTGCAAAAAAGAAAAGAACACAGAACAAAACAGGAGGCTTATTACAATGACCTCCAAGCCCCTTACCACTTATTCTTTTTTTCTTGTGGTAAATACACATAACATAAAATTTACCACTTGAGCCATTTTAAACTAGACAATTCAGTAGCATTAAGTACATTTACGATATTGTACAATCATCATCACTACCCTTTTCCAGGAATTTTTCATCATCCCAAACAGAAACTCTGTACCCAGTAAACATAATTCCCCACCCCCTTCCCCCAACCCCTTATAACCTCTATTCTCTTTCTGTCTCTAGGATTTGCCAATTTTGGATATTTCATACAAATGTAATCATACAATATGTGGCCTTTTGTGTCCAGCTTCTTTTACTTCCCATAAGGTTTTCAAGGCTCATCCACGTATAGCACATATCAGCACTCATTCCTCTTTAGGGCTAAATAATACCCATTGTGTGAATATACCACATTTTGTTTATTCATTCATCATCTGATGGACATTTGGGTAGTTTTCACCTTTTGGATTAGCACTTATTCTTACGTCTTCATTCATGCTCTTACTTTGACAACACAGACATGCAAACTACTTAGTATATTCAGTTACCCTCCAGATGTAATGTACCTCTACCTTTACCATGTAGTTGATAGCAGTTGTTTGAGAACCATGCAAATGAGCAAACCAAATGAGGACATGTATACAAAACTCATATGAGTTCACAAGTAATCAATTGATACAAAAACTAGACATCAGTATTGAGAAATGTGTTAGCCATTTGAGAGTGGAGAAACATTATCTTACGGCCCTGACTCTCCCAGAGCTCCTAACACAATGCAGATGCACAGAAATACCGGGAAAAAGAGGCACACTGCGCTGCGCCATTCCATGTTGTTCTCTACTCAAGAATTGAATATTAAAGATGAAACATTTTCTACATCCCAAGTATGAATTTTCAGATTATAAATTATACTCAAAAGATCTTAGTATTTGATTAAAAAAAAACAGTATAGCCAACTTTGTCTTATCTAGCCCTGCTCCTCCAATTTGTTTTATGAAATCTTGATTGAGAATCATAGTTGGCAAAGTTCTATTGGATTAGGCAAATAATATTCCTTTTGAAGTATTCCAAATCTTTTAAGAAGCTTCTTACTCTAGGTTATCAGAATTATGTGTGATGAATGTGGTAAAAACCAAATTGGAAATTAAGCAATAGGTCTGAAAAATTTGAATCATAGCAGATAAATTAAATATTTCAAACATTGAGCATAAATGAGAAAGAACCAACATTTACCAGGTACTTAGCAATTTTCAGGGGCGGGGCTGTGTGCTTAAAATGAACTCTTTGACTTAATTTTTACAATGTTCCCATGCTGTGGCTTTATCATTCCTGGTGCAGATGGGGAAACTGAAGCTCAGAGAGGCTAAGTAACTTGCCAAGTCAGTTGTTAAAAAATGTTAAGCTCCAAATCATGTGTTCAGTTTCACAACACTTCACTTGTAATAAAGAGAACAGCCTGACAGAAGTGTAAGGGAGATTTATGAACCACCTACTATATACAAATGACTGTGGGACAGAGAGACAGATACAAAAATGATGCTGAGTAGGCCAGATGAGATGAAGATTGAGAGGCAAAGATTTGGGAGTTATCAACATCAAGGTGATGGTTGAAACCAAGAGAACAGATATTCCAAGGGATACCTAAAGTTCACTTATGGATAAAGATGAATATAAATAAAAGAAATGCATTCTCAATATCCCTCTTTAGTATGCACAAATAGCTTACACTCTGCACAGAGGTGAACTTAAACAAAAGATTCCCCAGGAACATGACCGTGCTTACACAGTGACATGCGGTCAAGCAAGGAAGGCAGGGTCATCTACTCAGTACTAATATGTACAAAACTATTGATCATAAAACCACTTCCTAACCAACAAAAACTCTAAGCTTGCTATGTGGATCAAATGGGCCGCTCGCTTGCCAATCCTGCATCCCCCCCAGACTTTTCCCCCTGCTCTCTCCTGCTTCCTTCACTCCCCTTCTCCCAGCACTCCCACAACAGTGCACTTACACGGAATTCCCTGTCTCAGTTGCTGCCTGTAGGGAACCTCACCTACCAGGAGATCCTTAGCAGTTTTTTCCTATTTCTAACAACACATAGGAAATGCTGAATCTCTCCGTCTTCCCTCCTGTCACCCAGGAAGAAGCGTCTTTACTCTTTAAGAAAAAAATAGCCTCTCTACTTTGTTCTGGATCTGACTGAGATAATACATCCTTCCCTGTCTTACTCTGATTTACTTTATTTTAATCTTTAAGGAGACCTACTATCTCCAGCTCTTATCTCTACCTCAAGCTCCAGCCCTGAAGCCCCAAGAACTCCACTGGACACTTGTTACTACTTCAAACTCAACTGGATGAAAATGAAAAAACAGTGGAAATAACATTAACCTAGACACAAATAATAAAATCCAAACAAGGCATATTCCCTGCCCCCACCCTCCACATCAACTTTCTTTTTCAATGCAGGCAGCTTCAGAGTCAATACTGCAGTTAATGTTTGTCTAACTCTGGGATTGACTACCTTCAACCAACCTGCCAAAAAGCACTCACTCTCAAGAGTAGGTATTCCAGGTTTCTAGAAATCTTAGCTGAAAACAAGCACCATTTTAGCTGACAAGAACAACCAAAGCTAATAGAGTAGCACAATTCAAGGGGTTTTCTTTCCATTTAAATTTATTAAATGCCCATGAATTCCATACAGTGACCAGCACTGAAAGAAAGCAAGAAAATTGCAAAATGATGCAGAATCCTTTCCCTCTCTCTCCACTGGTTCTATGTTTCATTCAGGAAATGATTTAAAATACGCAGTTCCAGTAACTCTACATTAGCCACACAAATTATAGGAAGAAAAAGTATGGGGAGTCCAAAAATAATTCATATTTGGCTTTGGAATATGTCCTGTAGTCATATTTTCAGATGGGTGTACCTATTGTTCTGGGAATTCATTAAAACAAAATAATGACACTACAAGCTGAAGACTCAACAAAGGAGAAGCTGGAAAACTTTTCAGTTTCCCCATTAGGACTTTATGAACTCCTTCCTGTAATCCACTGACACAGAGCAATCCATCTAAATTGACCTGTCTCATTCCAAACATTTCCTGAAGCAGCTATCTGGTTCACTGTTTGGGTTTGAAAGTGCTTCCTTGATAAGTACATAGAAACAAAGGGTCAACTAAAGAAAATTAGAAGCAGCAAGTAAATCAAGGAAAACAGATGCTATAAATAGGAGTTCAGTAAAGGAAATAAATACAATCAGTAAAACTCAAAGTGATATTTGCCCATGGACAATCCACTCTGCTACAGTCTTTGGTTTTATTTTGCAGATATAAAAGAGTTCAAGAGAAAAGGTTAAAGCAGCAGAATAATGAGGAAATAACTTAAAGTTCCTTAAAGTTGAGATTTGAACCCACATCTAGTTGAACTCCAAGCCTAGTGCTCTTTCCATAACACTTTGGAACTTCACTATGACACATCAGTCCAGAGATTGGCACATGTAGATAAATCAAATATCTAGATGGCCACCAGCCTGAGGTCAGTTAGAATTTAGGGTAGGCTAGGAACAAAGTAAGGGGATTTGATTTATTTTCCCAACTAGTGGATTACATATAGGGAGAACAGAAATCAGGGGAAAATGTTGTTTGGTTGATATTTGTGTTACATAGCTGACACTTCAGTGCCTTTTGTCACTCTCTTGCTTAAAATCATAAGCTGGTTCCTTTCCCCATTGCCTTTAGGGTCAAGTTTAAATTTCTCTGCATGGCATTCAGGACTCTATCAAATTTAGATTTCATCTATCTAGATAGACTTATCTCCTGCCACAAATTCGTTATACTCCACGCAGGCCGTGCACTTTACTTTTTTCTTTTGTTTTTGGTGAGGAAGATTGGCCCTGAGCTAACATCTGTGCCAATCTTCCTCTATTTTTTATATGTGGGACACCACCACAGCATGGCTTGATGAGCACTGTAGGTCTGCACCTGGGATCCGAACTTATAAACCCCAAACCACCAAAGCAGAGCACACAAACTTAACCACTACACCATTGGGCTGGCCCCTTGGCCACGTACATTTTTTGAAGACGAAGAAGATTAGCCCTAAGCTAACATCTGTCGCCAATCCTCTTTTTTGCTGAGGAAGATTGGCCCTGAGCTAACATCTGTGCCCATCTTCCTCTACTTTATATGTGGGATGCCTGCCACAGCATGGCTTGATAAGTGGTGCATAGGTCCGTGCCTGGAATCTGAACTGGTGAACCCCAGACTGCCAAAGTGGAGCTGGCGAACTTAACCACTACACCTCTGGCTGCCCCCCCAGGCCATGTACATTTATGCCTCAGTGCCTTTGCTCCGGCCAGATACTCTATCTGGAATCCCATTCAGCCCTCCCATCTTCTTTTCAGCCTGGTTAAATCCCATTCAATCCATCTAGGGCCAGCTCGAACAGGCTTTTCCCTCAACACTCCCTTTGTTCAGACATCTATGTTGATTGCATAATCTCTTCCACTTGAGTCTTGTCACTACACCATGTCCTTTTCATTTCTGTTGTCCCAGCAACTCTAGTGTTGTTCCAGAGTAAATGTTCAATAAATGCACATTGAGGAGGATTCCAGTTGGGGAGGAAGGGTTAACAGCCAATCAACATATTTATGGTTGACACTCAATACATCTATGCCTTGCACTATGAGGGTAGGGAATTGGGGATACAAAAAGTGTTTGTTACCCTGTCACTACTCTCAAGGAATTTATAGTCTAGTTGGGGAGAAAACTTTCACATAATGCAATTACACAACAGCTAAGTGTTAAACTGTTACAATAAAGGTGCAACTGGCATTCAGAAAATGGAGGGGAGTTTGTAAGCTAGAGAAGGCTTCATGGAGGAAAGAGGGTATTCCAGGCCCAGGAAACAAAATGGCAAAGGCTTGAGCTGAGAATAAGGCT